AAAAAAAAAATCAATACATTAAATATTATAAAAAGGCAATACTGTTCTCTTGAAAAAACGTCAGTGGACGTCCGCAGAGGAATACACTCGACAGCAGCAGAAACCTGTAAATTCAGGTTTAACCCAGAGGGGAGAACAAGCTGATATTTCCACAAGCACTCCAGACATCAGCCAGTAACAAGAGGAACAACTGCAGCACGGCTACATGGCTTTAAACAGTCAACATTCATTTCGGTCATTCTTCAATTTAAACACATGCAAGAAAAAAATAAAATAAAATAAAATCACATAGGAAAATTTCACTTTAAAGTATACTGTGAGATAAATTAGTTAATGTGAACATATCCCTTTTCTAAATATAGAACAATCTAAACAGAAATTAGTTTAACTGTGCAATGCAATGAAACAGAAAAGGAAGGAAAGTTCAAAGGAAGCTGTGGTCTCTCATAGACCAGTTGTCAAGGATGAGTCTTCATGTGAACTGTGGAATCACCTAGGTAACCGTGCCAGTTCAAAGTTGACATCTTAAGGTCAAAACATTTCAGTGACATTCATTCAAGCACAGTGCAGTACAGCTTTAGGCACAAGCAAGAAGAGAATGTAGTAGGAACACACACCAGTCAGCCACAACATTAAAACCACTAAAAGCTGATGTGAAAAATGATGATCACCTGGTTACGAAGCACTGTTCTGCTGCAAAGCCCCAGGTACTAAGCTTAACCCCATGGCATATCACTCCCTGATGGTAGTGCCCTTCCTGCTGGAGGAGAACACACCCAGCCACACTCCAAAACAGCTCCTAAACTGCCTGAGAAAGAGTATAAGGCATTGATCTCCAGAGTCCCCAGCTCCCAAACTTACTGAACATCTGTGTGGGAGGCACCAGAAGCATCTGCTTCCCGTGCTCCCCAGACACCACAGCCCCTCTAGAAGCCCACCGGGTCCATGCCCCGATGGGTATATACACAATATACGAAAGTGCTTTCAATGCTTTTTTGGCTGACTGGTGCAAATGACTGCACCTACTCACAGATGCACTTAGAGCTGCAAAACAGACAAAAGCCTCTCTTGCACACACCGAGCTAAAAAATTCACACATCACTCCAGCTCTGTTTTCATTCATACACACACACACACACACACACACACACACCCTCTGTGTTCCCAGACTGTGTTGAGGAGATAAGAGTTTCTTTAGAGCTTTCTGTGGCTTGAGGAGCCCCTCAATCACACACTCAAAGGCAGCATGCCCGGTGGAGACAGGGCTCTGGATGGTGTCATGGAAGTCAAGGTGCTGGGGTCCAATCCATTAACAGTGCTGCAGATGTCAAAAGACATAACAACATCAGCAAAGATATACACACAGCCGGGGCGTCCGATTTTAACATCAAACTAAATAACAGAAGGACAAACAGACAGGGAAAGGAGAAAAGCACATGCTAAAAGACTTACGTTTTGTCGAAGTAGGTAGTATGTAGTGAGTGAGAGAAATTGGTGGCATTGCTGTTGAGAAGCATGCTTTTGTCTGTGGAGTAGTTTTTTCTTGCTGCCTGGTCTTTGGCAAAGTTCCTACAGGCAGCAAGTTT